AACTTTTCAACTGTCGAGCTTCGATATAATTTTGTTTACACAGTTGAGTAGCAATCTCGTGTAATTAGTGTTTTCTTTTTTGCACTGGACAACGCTCCAATCCTTTCACTTTGTTAGTTTCACTTCAAGGATCGGTGAGTGGTAATTCGCTTGACTGTTCGAAAAGCAGTTTCGGCGTCTGTTTTTTTAATTTCGTTAGTTTCATCGGCAAGTCGATCCCGCTTCGTGAAACGTTTACGGGAACGTTGGATCATTCACAGGGCGCGGAGTCGATGTTTCGGTGAACGCTAGATCACTTTGGTCGAACGAACTTCCTCGCGTGCACACATATTACAAATCTTTACGAAAGCATTCACTCGTCTAAATGTCTTCGGTTACACTACACTGGTGTGTAAAAACTCCACAGTAACGTTTTTCAGTTATCAAACACTCGCCCTGAACGCCAATCGATTGCCCTACATCTTACAAAACTCCGAGCTAACGTTTCAGTTATCAATATCAATGCACGTTGCCAGATTCAGTGTACTGATTCACCTCATCATCGCCAGTCAAATTCCATGCATCAGCGCAAATGTCTTTGATTATCCGGCAGTTTGAGAACTTCACAGTGAGGATCCATTTATAAGACGGGCAAGAAAACTCATCCTCCAAGGTAACTCTGCACTCTGTATCTTCCTCCAAAAGTCCAGTCAAAAAGTACACCAGAGATCCTTGTTACCACGTTTTTTTCACCAAAGCACTGAGCTCGAGAATTGCTTTCAGATTGCTGTCATTCCTCTTAAGAAGAAGAAGAAGAAGAAGAAGAAGAAGAAGAAGATGACGATGATGATGATGAAGAAGAAAGAAGGGAAAAAAAGGGAGCACGTACGCGGTCGCGGTACACGTTCCCTACACGAAATCAGCAAACGTGATCGATCTCGCGTCGTCGAGACTGCTGCAACTTGCCTCGCTTCGCTTCGATGGAAACAGAGGGGAAAGAAGAGAGTGAGAGAGAGAGAGAGAGAGAG